CACCCAGCTGCTCTGCCCTAGGCGTCCCCAAGAGCAGCTGGGGTGCTGCCGGGTTGGTCCCGCCGCGCCAAGGGTCGGTGGTACCAGACCAACCCAGCAGCACTCCAGCTGCTCTGCCCCAGGCGTGTCCGATTCAGCCGCTGCTGGTCAGTTTCAACAGCGGCTGAATCTGGACGCCAGTTCTGACTTACATACAAATTCAACTTAAGAACAAACCTACGGTCCCTATCTTGTACGTAACCCGGGGACTGCCTGTACTGACATTTTCAGTGGTTACACAGTTACTTAATGACATACATTTTAACACCCCTAGTTAACAGTACTGAACAGAGTAAGTTCCCTGTACAAAAATGCATGTACCTATTAGGATGTTAAAATTAGATTAATCAACTAATGGAATAGTTGATGGAATTTCCATCAACGATTCAATTAATCAATAAAGGCGCTTCCGCTTTGAAATGTAGCAAGAGCCCGCCCGACTGCTGCTACATTTCAAAGGCGGAAGTGCCGCCTGTGTCCCACCTTTGAAATGTACTGCGCATTTCAAAGACTGAAATGCTGCATGGAACCCGGGGCCAGCAAGGAGTTCCCCGCTGGCCCCAGGCTCCACGCGGTGCTTCCACTTTGAAATGTACCAGAGCCCCAGCAGGGATGGAGCTGGGGGGAACTGACTTTTAAGCTGACTCCCCACAGCACTCCCTCCTCTTTTCCCACCCCACTTGCTGCCTCTTTCTGGTAGAGGCAGCTGGGGGAGGCGGGGGGGAGCAACGAGTTGATTAGTTGCTTAAATCCCTAGTATCTATACACTAAAAGTCCATTTGTAAAACAAGTTGGTGAACAGAAAATTCCTTGCCTAAGAGAACTATTTAAAAAATTTAACAGCACACCTTTAAAGAAAGAATAATATAACGAGTCTTGTGGATTTATGCTATCAAGAAAGCTACTTTTAATTTAGTATTTAACAGGAGGGTTTTTAAAGGAGCCCAAAGGAAGTTAAGTGAACAACTCCTGACTTTATAAGGCTTGGCAAGGAAAATAAATGACTTAATTAGGGTGACCATATTTCCCTATGCCAAATACGGCACACCAAGGGAGGCACTGGTGCTCAGGGCTTCAGCCCCGCAGCGAGGAATAGGAGAAAGAGCTGCCAACACTCAGAACTTCTGCCAACGCTCAGAGCTCCCGCGACTGAAGTTCTGAGTGTTGGTGGCTCCCCACCCACTCTACCCACTACAAGGGATGAAGGTCAGCCCTGCAGTACACAGGCTGGGGAAAGGAGTCAAGCCATTGGCGCTTGGGGCTTCTGCCCTGCAGCAGGGAAGAGGAACTGTCAGTGCTTGGGGCTTAAGCAGCTCTGCATTGCTTGAAAAGACTTCTGCATTGTTTGAAAGTCTCTCTCGCATCCAGGAAAGTCACTTTGGACATCACAGGTAAATACAAGGTGGCACAGATTCCTTGTATTTAGCTGTGGTGCTCAGAGTACCTTTCCCAGACTCGTAGAAGAGTTCTGTGTAGTTCGAAAGCCTGTCTCTCATATCAACAGAAGATTTACCTCACCAACTTCGTTTCTTTAGTGAAAAGTCAGATTAAAAAAAATCTATTTTAAGTTAAGAATTTGAATTTTCTTTGCATCATAGAATTTTCTCAATAAGTGAAATCTTTTCTCCTACACAAAGCTGGCTCAGAAATCAAGAACAGAAAGCTCAATTATAATAAAAGTTCCCCACCTACCATTTAAACCAAAAGAAAAACACCAATTAATGGATTATGTTTATGTTGCAAGAACATTGAGAGAAATACATATTTTGAGCAACTATAACAAAAGCAAAGCAGAAATTATTTTCATCATCAGAAGCAATTTACTGAGCATACTCCCAATGCAACATCAGGAATGTATAATAGGAATAACAATGAGGAAAAAAAAGGAAACATGGTCTTGTAATTACAGCTGTGCAGAGACTCAGAATATCTGTGTTCAATTCCCAAACTTGCCAGTGCACCTCTATGCCACTTGCAAAATGGGTATAATGTTTCTCCTCCCAGAATTTTCACAGGTCTTGTCTATTTAAACTGCTAGCTCTTGGAGAAAGGGACTGTCTTCTGTGTTTCTGTACATTGTGCCTAGCACAATATGGCCCAGTACTTGGCTGGGAACTGGAGGCACTACTGTAATACAAATTAACAGTAACAAGACAGGTTTGTGTTTCTTGCCAAGTGAGGGTTTTTATACAATGTCCCTTCAGGGGTGGACAAGCTTAATTGTTTGAGGGAGGTCTATGTACAGGGATATGATCTGCTGCAGCTGCCTCAACCTTGTATGAGTGAACAAAGCAAGATTCATATTAAAAAGCAGAATGCCTCATATAAACCTAAATCCCTGTAATACAGAATTATCAACTGAATATCAGTTTAAGTGCAAGAGATGAAAATAAGTAACGAGAAAAATGAATCCTGAAGCAAGCAATTTCAAATGAAAGTAATTAATTACAGATTTTAAAAAGATATACAGCAATAGCCATGTTGTACTATAGCAGCACATAAATTGTAACATTCAAAAACATGAAAAGAAGTTGAATTTTTTGAAAGCAGCCAAACGGATGTTCACACATCATCCATTAATTTTAATGAAAGGTGTCAAAATCTCTTAAGACTATAGGTTGGAGCTCTCAAATCCAGGACTCTCTGGTCTAGTAACATCTGTGGTCCAGCAGAACCATGGATGTTGCTGGACTAAAGAGCCCCGGACACCAGGAGCAGGAGTCAGACAGGAATCCTGCAGTAGCTGAGGAGTTCTGGATGGGCCGGCTGAGGCTGGGCCTCTAGTGACTGAGGAGCCCCAGCAGCCTTAGGGCAGGGAACCCAGGCTCCGGGGAGTGGGACACCTCTGCCTGGAGGGGAACCCGAGAGTGGGGCTGGTGGCCAGCATTGACCTCCTCTGGCCCAGCAAACTTTCTGGATTGGGACTGCTCAGATCCGGAGGGTGTCTGACCAGAGAGGTCCAGCCTGTACTTGGAAAGTTTCATTTTTTTCTTAAAGTGCACTGCAATCACACTGATCCGAAGAGAAAGACCATACACCTCTTGGGTTTTTTGACAAACAAAATGTGAAATTGGTTCTAAGAAAGATGTATACAAATCTCTATAAAAACAAGTAGACAGCTGAGGTTCTGGTCTTGACTATCCAGATTGTGTCTTGTGGCAATCCGAAGCACAAGACAGTATGTTACAGTATGCACAGCTTATCTTCCCCCAACAGATAAGGGGGTAAAGAACAGCTAAGTTATTCAGTTTAAGAAAGGCTGATGTACTTACTAGTTCGAATTTTTTCCTTTAATGCATCCAGATCTTCCTTGAGGGCCACCTGCATCCATACTAAGCCAACACAAGCTACCACACAAGCAGCCAGAATGACAAAAGCACATAGCGGGTAACAGAACTTGCAGCATCGTAGGTATTCTCCCCTGAGTAAAGAATAAAAATCAGTCATGAATCTGCAATGGGACATGTGTAGCTATATTCTAAATGTAAGAAGATCTACAGGTTCAACCTCTCTAGTTCAGCACCTTCGGGACATGACCGGTGACGAACCAGAGAATTTGCCAAACTACGGGAGATCAGTATTGTCTAGCAGCGTAAGAATGGCCATACTGGGTCAAACCCAAAGTCCATCTAGCCAAATATCCTGTCTTTCAACAGAGGCCAAGCCAGGTGAACCAGAGGGAATGAACAGAACAGGTAATCATCAAGTGATCCCACCAGCCATCCATTCCTAACCTCTGACAAAGGCTAGAGACACCATTCCTACCCATCCTGGCTCATAAGGATTAATGGACCTATCCTCCATGAATTTATCCAATTCTTTTTTGAACCCTGTTAAATTCCTGGTCCTTACAATAACCCCTGGCAAGGAGTCCCACAAGGTTGACTGCCCATTGCACGAATAAAAACTTCCTTTTGTTTGTTTTAAACTTGCTACCTAATAATTTCATTTGCTGACCCCCTATTTCTTACATTTTCTGAACAAGTAAATAACTTCTCCTTATTCCTTTTCTCCACACCTGTCTTGATTTTATAGATGTATCATATCCCCACTCCCCCCAGTCTCCTCTTTTCCAAGCTGAAGTCTTTTTAATCTCTCCTTCATGTGGCACCCATTCCAAACTACAGTACTAAACATTTTTGTTGCCCTTTTCTGAACTTTTTCAAATGCTAAGTATCCACATCTGCAAGCAGTACTCAAACTGTAGGATTTGTAGAGGCAATAAAATATTCTGTCTTACTCTCTATTCCTTTTTCAATGATTCTTAACATTCTGTTTGCTTTTTTGACTGCTGCTGCACATTGAGTGGATGTTTTCAAGGAATTATCCATAACAAGCCCAAAATCTCTCTTGAATAGTGATAGCTAATTTAGTCCCCATGTTTTCCAATATGCATTGCTTTGGATTTATCAATATTTGCCATTTTGTTGCCCAATCACCTACATTTGAGAGATCCTTTTGAAGCTTTTCACAGTCTGCTTTGGTCTTAACAGTCTTGAGAAGTTTAGTGTCATCTGTACTACCAACACTTACACTGCTTACTGGGCTCTTTAGAAAAAATTTGGGGTAAAATAGAACTAAGTAACAGCACAGAATACTGAAAGTCAGGACTGGTAGCTTTCAACAAACTTTATGGGACCATGGAGGTGGCAAAGCTGGCTCCAGGGGAGCTGGCTGCCGCCCTGAATGCAACCACGGACATTTTCAGGTGTTATATGGTTAGGCAGTTACAAGCATTTTAACATCCCTAGCCCTCACCGACCTTTGCAAATTACAAAATTCTAAACATACTGATATATTAAATGAGTTACTTTTGAAGACTGAAGGATCCATTTGTAACCAAGATATTGTCATCGGGCTAGCTGGTAACAATCCTGTATGATTCAGAACGGTATCCCTAGCCTCTGTGGAACGGTATCCCTAGCCTCTGTTACTCTGGAAGTGGGTGACGGGGGAGGGATCACGTGAGGATTACCTGTTGTGATTTCCCCCCCGCCCCCCCGGGGCATTTGGTACTGGCCACTGTTGACAGTCAGGATACTGGGCCAGATGGACCTTTGGTCTGACCCAGTATGGCCATTCTTATGGTTAGCTACTGTGGTCATCCATTGCTTTTTGGATGAAGACAACCAACAAAGGACAGAGGACCTTTTTCCTTAGAAGAAGAGAGACGATCAGTCCCAAAGCATCAACAAAAGCGGTGTCTACAACTACAATGTTTGGTGCATTGGAAACACAGAAAGACAAACCTCTTCTGATACTAGGGAATCAATTCATCTAGAAACCAGATAACTAGGTGTGTGACTAATCTGACTACTGCAGATGTGTCAGATTCCACGAAGAAGATAAACAGTTTTTAAAAATGAGAAAAAGGCAGTGGCAGTGTTATCTTGGATGTAAATTTAAACTAAAAAGAGGCGTCAGTGTCAGAGCTTTATTTGAAGTATGTTACGAGCCAGATGTCAGCTCACATGCTGCTTAAAATTAAGATTTTTTGTGTTTGTTTCATAAAAGGGAAAAGAAGTGAAGAAGAGGCTGAAACCAAGGAGTCAAGGTGCACCCAGGTTTATTAGGGAAAGGAAACGTATAAACTTGAAATCATTGGTGCAAAGCAGAACATAAAATAGAAGTAATTAGAATCAGGAAACCGGGACAACAAAATCAGTAGGGCAACAACAGTGTGTCAACAAAGCAGCATCTAAAACCCTGTTTATCTTCAAGGGTTATTCCCCTCCTCCCCCATGTCAGAACCTGAGAAAACTAGGTGGCTAAATTACCCTCACAGCCCATAATCATTCCCCTCCCATCCTGTATCTTCCAGCTCCCTTATTACACCTTTCCTACACTACTGCCCAGAACCTTGATCCCCTCCCAAACTGCACTTCCAGTTCATAGCTCCCTTACATCCATTCCATGACACCATTTCTTAAGCTGCTTATGACCCTTCTCCCTTTCCACAATCAATGTATAGCATCCAAAATAACCCTCAGCCCCCATATCACACCAGCTCATCACCTGTTCCCCTGCACCAACCACACTGCAACTCCCCCGCTGCTCTGTCCAACATGCACCCTTGCTCCTGCCCCCCAAATGCTCCC